ACAATAAACAAAATACAACATCATTAACAAAATTTTAAAAAAAACGTAAGTCTTAGATTTTAAAATGCGCTGAGTTTTTAAAAACTAAAGATAACATCAATACAAAACAAAAACATCAAACCTTTATCTCATTAAGTTGGGTCAGCTACATGAATCTTTATTCTCCATTTTGTTCTATTGAGTGTCATGTTTTTATTTAGTTCTAATAAGTTAAGATCTTTTTTTATACAACATGCCCAGGTTTTTTTAGGTCTACCTCTACCTTTTTTAACATAAGTCGATTCTAAAGCATCTACTCTGCTAATCGGATCATCAGGCGGTCAATGCCTACTATGATCAAACCATCTAAGAAAAGTCGCTCTAATCTTATCTTCCACTGAAACTACACCAACCCTTTCACGGATACATTAGGGTACAAAGTAAAGCAAGTTAGAAACAAAAATTTTCTACAAAAAAACTTTTTATTGTTAAATTGAAGCTACCATATTAATTCTTGGGAAATTTGCATACATACCACATGACACTTATGTATTTACATATCTAACAACTAAAGTTTGATATTTACATTTATAAAATTTTCGTGTTATAAACCTAAGCATGAAAATGTGTATTTCACTTTTAAAAAATTAATACTACTGGTATTTTCTTACGTAATAATAATGATTTGAGAGATATGCATGTAAATATGAAAATTTAGGTGTAGATATGTAAATAGAAAATAATTGTGTTGTATGTTCTTTTATAAAGTGCATAATCCATTTCAGAGCGTGTTGACCATCATTTATAAGAAACATGTATGCTACTACATAATTTTTTTTTCTTTTCTTTGATACCATCCTCACCTCCTTCACTTCTATCTTCTTTAAAAAAATATTTTGCGTTACTCAGCACTTTAGTTTCTTTTTTTTTTTTACATTTCTATAGCTTTTGGTTTTAATTTATTGCGGCACTTCTTTTGTTAAGATCAACTAATTTAAATGTTGTTTATAGTTTCAAGGGCTCCTACTTGACTTTCTAACAAAAATTTGGTGAAAAATGTCATCATTTGTGAGCTTATTTCTACTGTTAACAAATTTATTAGTATCATGTTCTCTAATAATGCCCTAAATATTATCATAATATTTTATTCTTTATTTCTTAATCCTATCACTTGTTTTTTTTTGTGGAAGAAACTTTTTTCTATTAAATCATGGTCTAAGAACTTTATTTTCTTAGTAGCTGTGATTGATCAAATATTTTTTTTTGGGATCATTATTTACCTAAATATAAACTTAGCTCAAATGTGTCAGCATCCTTTCCCTTGAGCTAAATTGCGAAATTTGTATGTCCATATTTGAATCAGTCCTGGTCTTTTGTAGTTTACATGGATGGAGAGAAATGAGCTAAAATTATCCACCTCAATTATTCAACAATTAAATTGTCAATACATATATATGTAGGTAAGTAGGTACGTATGTACATGCGTAGGTAAGTAGGTAGGTATGTAGGTACGTAAGTATGTATGTATGTAGGTATGTATGTATGTGTGTATGTAGGTATGTATGTATGTAAGTGTGTATGTGTGCATGCATGTATGTCTATGTGTGCATGCGTGTGTATGTATATATGTTTGTGTGTGTATGTATGTCAATATGTATGTATATGTGTGTGTATATGTGTGTGTATATATCTGTTTGTGTGTGTGTATGTATATATATCTATGTGTGTATGTATGTCTCTATATATATCTGTGTGTATATATACAAACATAGATATGTGTATATATATATATGTATGTATATATGTACGTATGTAAAAAAAAAAAAAAGGTATATATGTATGTTTGTATGCATATATGGGAAGGTTAAATTTACTATATATGGTTATTATAATGGGAGCCAAGAGAAGTTGGTGTTATTAGGAACTCTCACTATAATTATATTATATAATTATTTTGCTTATAAAAACAAATTCATTATTGAACTTGAAGGGACTACCCATGGTTTTGATATGTGCATCTTTTCTAGCTTACAGAAACTTTTATTTAAAATTAATGCTAAGAATCTACTGATTGGGAATGTTTTAACTAGTGGAGAAGCCTAAATTTCTTCTTTGTCATATCCAATTTGTATTCAATTTAGACTCTTATATATTTGGAGAGTAGATATTAGTTTTTTAAACTCCCTGAATAATAAAGGTTATCAATTGAGATCCGTTAAGATCATACACCCTAACGAATTTTCTGACGAGCTTGTAGGTATTCTTAGACTAGAGAAGTGTGGAATTGCTGACCTTAGGGAGCTTAATTCCCTTTAGCTCCTTTGACCTTTTCTATTTTATTTGTATTTATTAATATTTTAAATATTTTAAATATTATTATTGCTTGAATTTTTTGTACTAATGGCTTTAATTTTGATGGAATTGTTGATTTTTTTTTCTTAGTATCCCTACTGGGGATACTCTATTGTATACTTTGTCACAACTTGTTGGCTGTTTTCCATTGATTCTTTAATGATTAAAAGTACCATTTGCTAGAAAAATCATGGCAGTAAAATAAGCCTTTTCTGTGTGCACTTGTATGAAGGTTTTACACATGAGTAGATTTAAAAATAAATGCTGGAAATATCAGATTTTACGTGAAAAACATGGGGAGAAAAAAAATTATGAGGTCGAGCAAAGATGAAATAATTCACTATATGTAAAAATATAATTGAGAAGATGAAATTACAAAGTAATCTATTCAAACTTTAGTTTCCTATAAATGTTGTAAAGCTTGAAGTAGATGAGAGATACTAATATTGATCTTATAAAATTAATTGAATAGTGATCATCAAATAATGATAGTTGAGTAATGCTAGTCGGATGATGATAGTTAAATAATAGAAATTAGATGATGATAGTCATCATTAATTTTTTAATGATACTAAAAAAGTTTTTTGTTTAAATTTTTTTAGTATCATTAACACTGTCATTGTTGGGTCCTGAGCCCCTGATGCAAAAAGTGGAGAATTACGTTGAATAATCGATAGCCAGCGTAAAATTTTGCTGAAAAGAACATGTCATTAATCATTTAAATCATTGTGTAAATATTTGGGTGTCCCCTGAAAGCGACTAATTGTATGGCTTAAATATAGTGAAAAGTGTGCAAGAGTCGCTACACCGACATTCATGTGTAGTATTAAATAAGTAAAGGTTCTCATATTATGGATGAATGTGAGTAAAGAAGTTAGTTCGTGAAACTAATATTAAGATAAGATCTTAGAATATATGTACCCTCAAAACTAAATTAATGGAATTAGTGGATATTATGATTCATAAGAAGATAAATGTCTTATGCATTCAAGAAAGTAAATGAGTCGGAGAAAATACTAAGGAGATTGATAGCTTAGATTTTAAACTTTGGGATTCGAGTTTGAAACATAATGTCATAAAAATTTATAGAATTTGAGTTAAAATTATAGCCTAAAGATTATTGTTGATGTTATGAATTTTAATATTTTAAGTGCTTATGTTTCTCAAGTAGGTTTAGATGTATATTCAAAAGAAAAATTTTGGAATGACCTAGAAGAATTAATATAAATGATACCTATTGAAGAAAAAAAAATTTATTGAAGGAGATTTAAATAGACATGTTGGTAGAGTGATAGAAGATTTTAAATGGTATGTTGAATTTCAAGATTTCCGTAAAATTGTGATGGAGGGGGAATTCTAATATAGCGATGAAGACACCTTAGATGTGTGCCCTCAAATTCACCAGTTGTAGCATGTTATTGATTTTGTGGTAGACAAATTATCATGTTATGATTATATTATTTGTAGAGGAAATTCTTGTAAAGTTAAAAGAACTTGAATCTATTCTGTTTGTAAAGTCAATCTTCTAAAGTTTATTTTTATACAAAAAAAAATGCATGCACATAATTAAAAGAAAAAGTACACTAGATACTAGAGTCTTTACTCGAATAACTAAAAAAATGTGATGTCTGACCCAAATGAAATGATCCACTATGTAATTAAAAATTCATAATTTTATTTTTTCTTTGACTAAAAGATGAGTTTATAAAAATTGTATTCAAGATTAATTTCTCTTAAATATAGTAAAGTTTGAAGTAATAGAGAGATAGTATCGAAAGTCATTAATGTTAGTTAGGTGATGAAAGTCGAATTATGATAGTTACGCAATAATAGCTAGACTATCATCATAATTTTATTTTTTCTTTGACTAAAAGATGAGTTTATAAAATATTGTATTCAAGATTAATTTCTATTAAATATAGTAAAGTTTGAAGTGATAGAGAGATAGTAACGAAAGTCATTAATGTTAGTTTGGTGATGAAAGTCGAACTATGATAGTTACGCAATAATAGCTAGAATATCGCGACAGATAATAGAGGCTAGACGACGATGACGGTT